GTAAATCGGTGTCAAGAGCATCGCCTCTCAGGGTGGCCGACAATTATGGTGCTTTCTCCGGCGAGGGAAAAACGCCTTTCCTGTCGGGCTCATGAGCATCATTGTCTAATTTTCTCTTCATCATCCAATTATACGGTCGTATTCGCATGTGTGTGATATGTGACCATGGGCCGGGGGGTGCTGGCAAACTTGCCCTGGGAGGACTGACCTCGTCAATCCAGCCCAAAGACTAATGGTCACCATCGTGAGATGTGCACCACTATCCGGCATAGACAGTTTGAATGAGCCTCAGTGTAGACAAGGGGCCCCGACGTCTGGATTTCCGTCTTAGGCAAACCGACAGGCCGCTGTCAGATTTCCACGGGCGGGGGACAGACAGTGCATGGCGAGGTACCTCGTCGTCCGGGGTTGGGACGAGTGGCTGAGACATGCATGCAACTCCTGCCAACGGAGGGTGGGCGATGGCAGCCTCAGCCTGTGGCGCTCACATAGAGCTTCGGTCATGGTTCTGAAGCTGGAGGCGCGCGTCGATTGCGCCTGGAGGCTTACGAGTAATGTCTTGACGGAACAACAATATCGATAATCAATTCCAGGAGCAAAGAGACCCCAATTTGCGGTTGGTGACTCTGGAGAGTTCTGCTATGGCCTTGTTGGATGAGCGGCGAGGTGTGCAGACTACACAGGGATACGTGACAGGCCATCATGATGAGATGTGTGCGGTGCAGCTAAGCCGCCGGCAAGTCGAGCTACGGGTAGCTTCTCCTAGGTTAGAGACAATCCTTCTGCTTAGGCTCTTGGGCCTCTCCTCCTACCCTGACGATTCGTGAGAACGAGTGCGACGCAAATCGTACCTGGAAATCGGGTCGGAATGTCATGATCGTATTTTTCTTTCTGGTGCCCGTCCCGTTGCATTGGACGCATCTAGCACCCGCAATACAACGCGTACGTCTCAGTGGCTTTTCCCTCCGTCAAGACCCGGATGAGCATGGGGAAAGGCCTGTCAATTGAAGCCATCGTGGACTACGACAGGCCATGCCATGCGGTCCATGGGTTGAGACCCTTGATGAGGAGGCCCCGACTAGCTTGCAGCATTCGTAAGCAGGGTAACGCGTAGTGGACGATCAGCGGGCAACGCCATGTGCAGTGTGGAAGGATGGCCGAGCGCATGTGGGTAACAGGAGCTTCAGACTAACTGAATGTGCTTTGTTGCGATGCCCCTCGGCTCGGGAAAATGGGAGAGACGGGACATTCGGTAGTCGCATGCGCTCGAGGGAGACATGTCCTCTTCGTCGGGTCAATTGGCAACGTAAACGAAGGTTTGGAACCGATGCTTTTTGCGTTCTGAGCGTGGGGGCGCACACTCTCATGAGCAGCGACGAGAACAAGCGCCAGCGCCTGCTCCGAACATGACCGGGATCTGAAGGGCAATATGATTAAGACGACGGCCCTGTAACCCCTCCCCAGTTGAAGCAAACGGCTCGGCGCACATGCCGCTCAACGTGAGCGCTTTGCCGAGAGCGCATGAGAAGTGACCAATGGTCTGCCTAGCATCCAATCAGGCAGAGCATAGGAGAATGCAGCGCCATCCGTTCCATGGTTGCGGATTGGCTGTTCTCACTTGTCAGACGGTGAGGTTGCTCTGATGGCGTCCAAAGTCAGGTAGCTCCGGAGCTTGCAGTAGTCTGTCGGGGGGACTCGGTGATTAAGTTGCGACTATGCAAATATGCTTTGGGGGCAGAAATTGTTCAGTTGTAAAGGGCCATGCCCCGCGAAAATCGAACCTTAATCATGGGGGGGAAAACGACATGGCGACTCGAGGTTGAGAAGAGGACCGACTGACCAGCGGCAGAGGTGATTTTTCCACGGCTTATTTCCGTCCTCTAGCTTGTGGGACTCTATCTGTAACATGCCTCGCAGTCGAGCAAGACGTCTTTCTCGGTGGCTCGGAAAGCGGGTGAAGGAAGAGATGAGGCACGGCTGTTGCCGAAGTGGGAGGTGGCCAAGGGACTCTCTGCCTCGGTGGACAGTGGAGCGTTCTCCGTACTGTAGTGTAAGTACCTTACTCCAGACTCGGTACGGAGTATGTGATAAGACATGGTCTGTTGAATAAGGTCTCGTGGGCAGCCAGACAGTTTGCCAGTGTCTTGACGGGTACACACGGGCAGCTTGCTTTTTGGTCATGCAGCCCCAGGATTGCGATAAATAGCCGAGTTGGAGACGGCCAGAGAAACCGTGACGGGTCCATTGCCGGCCGAGGCGTGAGACATTGACAAGGTCCAAAGAGACAAAGATCTACTCGATCGGCGATTTACGGGAGCGAGAGACCAACGACGGCCGACGGCACGAGATGGGCGCGGCTGGATGACTCGAGCGCCTCGTCTGTCGTATTGCAAGACTGTAGGTCGAAGTAATTGGAGAGGGCCGTTGGATCATGGGACGTCATGGGCGTCAGCGAGCCTCTGGCAGCAGCAAAGCGACGGCGGGTCTTGTACGTGGTTTGTGCTCCCTCAGCGGTAAGCACAGGTCCGAGATGCTCAAGGAGAGATTGAGTCTCTGTGCCAACCTTGTTCGTCACCAGTCCTAAGCGCGTTCAGTGGTTTCCAGGGTCCGAATTGCGAAAAGCAGTGTCAGATGAGGCTCCAGATGCAGATCCAGGCGCAGAGGAGACCGGAGCGGGAATTGAAGGCGGGTTGATCCAGAGCATGGGGGCCCAGAGTGCGTGTACGAATAAAGCAAGAGTTCCTCGGCTTGGCATGCGATACCTGACAGAGTCAACAGGGCTCGTACGGTCCGATAATTGCCGGGATACTTCTGGGCAGAGTCTTGGTGGAAATGCAGCTCGGTCAATGGCCGTTGGGGAGGGAAAAGAGGAGGAAACTTATCGTCGGGATGGAGTCCGGGTCCGACGAGATTGACACGAGATTGACGGGACGGCTGCTGGTTGTGGCTTTTGTGGTTGCTGCAAAAGGCTGCATGATGCTTGCTGCTGTCTCTGTTTAGGGTGCTGATGGGTGACACGACAGGCAGGATTGGATGTGCTGAATGGATAGGATCAACGCCAACGACAGTGCAGCGGAATTAAGGTGAAGGGAGCATCAAGCCCAAGTCCAATCAGAGCACCGGGTGGCGGTCGACCCAGCGGCAAGTCTACCGTTGGAACCAGTCGACGACTCCTGTGACATTGTCTCGTAATGAGGCATGCATCGTTGGTACGAATAAGCGCAATTATTCGACACGGGGCCTTTGCTTTGCAGCAGGGGATGGGGGTAGAAACGAAGTTGTCGTGAGAGGCTGCCGTGGCTTCGGAGAGTCAGGTACAGAACGGAGTTGTCTCCGGGGGGAAGGAAGCAAGGCACAGCACCGGCGAGACGCGGCGAGACGAGACGAGACGAGATGGACCATGGAGACGACGGGGAGGAAAGTACATGCCCTCAAGTACCTACCTGCCTGCGGTATCTTATTACCTTGCAAATGGTAAAGGAAGGCGCGAGGCGAACAAGTGGAAGAAGGCACGAACAAGCAGTGCTTTCCAACCGTGCCAACATAACCTGGAAGGTACCACCTATCTTATCCGTAGGCTGTCCACCCCACCTTCCCTTCATCTTCACCATCCACGTCCACGTCCACTGCCAACTTCTCGAGGAAGGAAGGAAGGAAGGGTCCTGACAGCAGCTCCACAGTGCGGAGGGGCTCCTGCTTGATCACGGACAATCATTCCCTTCAGCGCTTGCCATTCGTACAGGCAAGGGAGGAGGCAGGCAGGTGCAAGGTATTGGGGCTGCCTGCTGGGGAAAGAAAGGTAGGGGCAGGCGCAGGCAGGGGGGCGAGGACGGCCCATGGCAGACCACAGACCAGGGCTCCTTAGTGTTCTCCAGTGTCCAGGGCCAGCACCGAGTGGCCTCCACTGTCTGATTGACTGTGGAACCCCCCATCGACAGCGGCTGACAGTGGGGCAGATTGGTGTTGGAGTCGCAGCCGAGTGCGCCAGGTGCACAGTGCATCGTCGCAAGAGACGCCGCCCTGCTGCCCTGCTGCCCTGCTGCCCTACTGTACGAGATACACGACGGGTATACCACAGTCGAGAGGGCTCAAACAGGCAGCCTTCCTCCTGTGCAGCGACGTCAAAAGTGATCAGATTGTGCACCTGGAGTCGGCATTCAGCTTTCTGGAAATATATAGAAGAAGCTTTGCTGCCTTGCTGGGAAGGTTGTCCAAGATCAATGACCTGTCAACTGTGTCGTCGCATCCATAATATCGGTAGCGCTCGTCTCAGGAGGAGCCCAGACGGCAGCAGAGGCGTTCCCACTTAAACACTGGACGGAACAGGGGCCGAGGACCAATGGAGACGGCCCACACAACAGGGGGGATCAAGGCCATGCGTGCTTACTCATCTGGTGACTTAATCCCGACATCGACTTATCGTCATTCACGAACGATGCCCCCAGCTGCGACTGCGCTTTGCGCTTTTATTTTTACCATCTCCTCCACCGGAGGCTCGCTCCGCGTCGCTTGGTAGCATCTAGCTGAGGCTCGCCTGTTGAACCCGACGCTGGCGGAGGCTTTGGTGCGGAATAGTGTAGACGCCTTCGGACTTCTGCACGACTGAGCACAGGTGACACGGGCAGTCAGGAGCATTGGGTCACCGATCGATCCTATGGCTGCTGACTTCAGAGCGGTTCTGCATTATGCTTATATGAAGGAGAGCAAGCCCAACCGTTCTAAACATTTCCAGTCTTTTCAAACACAAGGCCTGCCACCCTTGTCATACCCTGCAGAACCTTGACGCTCCACAAAGCCGACTTGATGTCGAGTCCCGTTAGGCTCCGGCCGCTGCTGCCGCTCGCCCCGGATGTTGATCCACGACGACTACCACAGCCACCTGCAACTACTAGGCTGAAGAGAAAAAGACCCCAGGTCTCGGCCGCATGCAATGGTATATGGTCTCTACTGACTCTGTCTCTCCCAATTCGGACCGTCTGATCTAACACCATCCCTTCAGGATGCCGCAGAAGAAAAGTCAAGGTCAGGACTTCTTCAACCTCTGCAGTCTCGTCACCGTACAAGTCAGGCTAAACTACCCCATCAAGTGCGATGGCGTCCGGCCGAGCTGCTATATGTGCTCCACGACGAAGACGCCATGCGTTTACCCCGTGCCCGAGGGTCTCTCCCGGAGCGAGGCCCAGAAACAGAAGTTCACGGACGTCTCCAGGGCGCATGAGAGCAGCCGCAGGGTGCTAGAGTTGCTGAGCGCCAGTCAAGACGGCACCTCTCATGACATCTTGCAGCAACTGAAGCATTCGAAACATCTCGATAATACCGTCCAGTCCATAGCTGATGCAAGTCTGCTGCTTCCAAGGGGTGATGGTGACGATGAGGTGGGTAAGTCATATGGACCGCGTCTTCCTTCAACGTTTGGAACACGACTGATATCTGAGAAAGGAGACCCTCCCGTCGTGACAATGCAGCCAGAAGACAACATGCTGGCAGATACAGCGCAGAATCTTACAGGGAGGTGAGTTCCCGTTGATACAATTTCAAATCGGCTTGTATCGTTTGTGTCATACTAAACTTGGTTTCCCTTTGCTGGTAGCACGGAGAGGTCTTTGAGATCACTCTCAGCGGAAAGTACTGACACCAGCATCACCTTGCCCGTCTCTCGCTGGACGACGGTCTTGAAGGACGACAGAATCTTGACGCAGCTTCTCGAACTATTCTGGGCCTGGGACGGCACACTTTCACGGCTCGTTGCCCGGGATCTCTTCTCCGCTGAGCTGAGCAATGCCAACGCACAGCAGAAGCATCAATTCTGCTCTCCGCTCCTTGTCAACGCCATCCTAGCCGTCTCATCTGTTCGTAGCAATCACCGTCCCCCTTTTCTATTCCCCCTTCGCGCCTGCATCATAGAGACTGACGTTTCCCCTAGCTACACTCAACGAGGAAGCACAGTAGTCTGCACACGGATGCCAAGAACAAAGCCCAGAAGTTCGCGGACTGTGCATTCGACCTCCTTGACGCTGAACAAGGCGTAAGCTCCCTAACTACTCTGCAAGGAGCGGCGGTCCTTTGGGTATACTGTAGCAATGAGGGGACGCGTGTCTCTCGCACCCGGGCTGCGAGACTGGCTGGGTTGATGCTGCAGACCTGGTCAACCCTTGGCCTAGGCACCGATGGGTCCAACCTATTCCACCTACCAGAGACCCAGCCGACGAACGACTTGAAAATGTGGCAGGCGGTTTCTTACGTCGCCTGGGGCTTCTACTGCTTCTTCGCGTACGTCTACTGAGCCAACCCCTTCTTATCGGCAAGGCGCCTCCCAAATTACTAACCGAGTCTCTTGGGAATAGCAAAGCATCACTTGTCTGCTCACCGCATATGCTCGTCTCAAAACCACTCATAATGAAGACTTTCGAAGCCCAAGACGGGCTATCGGCCGGCTCGCTAGGCTCAGCATCTTCCACCGGCGACATCCACCTAGCCAACCAGACTTGGAAGGCGTTCCAGCTGCAGGTGTTTACCGCCGAATGCTCCCTCTGCGAGATCATTGACCAGTTCGTCTCCGGCTTTGTTACTAACGACACTCAGCGTCCTATTCTCGACAGCGGACGCTGTACGGCGCTTTACAACAAACTGCTTTTGTGGAAGCTGTCTCTGCCGGGTGGCCTCATGACTAATGACAGCGTACTCCCGTCCACCTTATTGTTGCAGTCAGTCAGCCCCCAATAGAAACCAACTATTCCCCCAGTCTTGCAACGATTCCAAAGGCGTGACGAGTTGACATAGAATAGAACCACGTACGATTTCGTGGCGTTGAAACTTCTCGCCATGTTCACAAGTCAGTCTGGTCCAGACTTTGACGGCCGCAACGCGGCCTCCCTACAAACTCTCCACGCGAGCTCCATGATCTCGAACTTATGGATTTACCGCGGCCTCTATACCCTGAAATACGAGTACTGGGCCGCGGAGCACTGCTCTTTTGCCGTCCATACTCTTCTGCCGCAGATGGAGGAGCCCGCCGTTCACGACACGATCGCGAAGGCGTGCTGTGTGCTCCATGAGATGGGCATCCAGAGCGGTCTCTCCGGCCGTGCTGCGGAACTGCTCCGGGATATTGAGGGCACGGCCAGAATCAGGGGCATCCGTATGCCTCCGTATGGCAAGGGCTCGAAGTCGCCGGAAGTGGACGCCATGCCGACATTTGTGGTGAACGGGGCTCGTGTTTTTGATGGTTCCAGGGGCGAATTGATCGGTGACACGGACGAAAATGGATGTGCTGTCAGCTTCGACAGCACCATTGGCGATGTTCAACAGGTGCAGCCTTGCTGAGCACGACGCAGAGGGCGCATATGTTTCTGCGGCTGTAAATAACTGAACGCTCGATACACGAGGCAAGGCATATCGAAACTGCGGACTCGCCTTGGATATTTACAAGGAGAAAGGGAGGTAAAAACACTTTTTTTTACGCGCAACGAATAAATACAGACAAAGTCGCAGAACCGCAGGCCACGATACTCTTCAATCTCCAGGGGACAAATCTCTTCCTCCCACAGCCCAGCCGCTTCCCTCCTTGACCATCAATGCGTCCTCGCAAGTTCGATATCCTCGCCCTGGATCCAAGCCCTCTTGATCTTGCGCGTCGCCAAGATGTCCTCCAATGGGTTGCCATCAATGAGCAGCAGATCAGCCCTCAGGCCGCCCCTGACGATGCCGCGATCTTGGAGCCGGAACGCCGCGGCAGCGACGCACGTCGCCGAGCGCAGAGCGTCCAGCCGCGCCATGCCCGCGTCCACTAGCAGCTCCAGCTCCTCGTGCAGGCTCTCTCCGAAGGGTATCTGCGCGCCGGGCACCAGGTTCGCCGTCGTCCCGGCGCAGATGGTCACCCCGGCCTCGTAGAGCGTGCGCACGCTCGCGGCCGCGTTCTCGTAGTTACCGCCTGGCGTGGCGCCCGGGTTGCTGTGCTGCAGAGACCCGGCGTCGGCAACAGCGGTATTGTTCTCCTCGGCGTCGTCGTCTCCCCGGCGGCCAGAGAGACCCGGGATGGGGAAGCCAGGCGGCGCGGACGGCCGCCGTGCCTCTACGTCAGCCCCGCCTGGCGCGCGTCTTTGCATCATTCTCAACGCCGGCACGAAGACCTTCCCCTGAGCGGCCATCCCCCGCGCCAGAGCGGAATCGAGGGGCGCGTCGAGCGGTGCATGGGCGAAGACATCGAAGCCGGCGCGCATGGCACGCTCGTAGGACGCTTTGCCGGTGGCGCGGGCGACGGTCAGCTTGCCGTGGGCGTGCGCGGCATCGACGATGGTCTTGAGGAGGGCGTCGTTGGGGGAATGAAGGTCGACGACGACTCTGACGAAGTCGGCACGGTCCGGACCGCTCGCCCTCGCGGCGGCAAAGGCCACGGCTTCCTCGGTCGTGCGTATGACCACCTCGTTCTGGTTGTCGTAGACGTGTGGTTGAGGATCCCGTGCCAGCACCGCCTCGGTTCCGCTGGTGAAGACGGTCGGCAGTCTCGTCCGGCCGGCGGCGTATATACGCAAGGCCTGGCATTGCTGGGTGTTGCTGCTCAGGTCGATGACGGTTGTGACGCCGTGCGATGCGAAGGTGCCGAGGGCGGCGTTGGCGCCCTTGATGTTAGCGCAGACGTCTATGAGGCCGGGAATCAGTGTGCAGCCTCGCCCGTCGACGACGATGTCAGAGGTCTCGGTCGCAGAGCCGTCGTCCATGTAGTCCTGTATGTCTCCGGCGGACCGGGTGATGACGACGTTACTGGGCTCCAAGATAGCCTCGCTGTCGAAGACACGAACGTTTTGAATGACGATTTTCGTCATGGTATCTGCAATCTGCAAAAACCAGAGACTGTATACACAATGGCTCGATTGTCGTTCAGCAGATTAGTAGGAGGCGCATGCAGTCTTCCTCTCTAGCATTGGTTGAACTGGGAAGAGACTAGGTATCATGTTCTGTGGTAAGTGTCAGAGGCAACGCAAAATTTCCGGCCGGCTTTGTCAAACCTACTCTATTTGAGCCAAACACGACCAGGATACCGTTAAGGTATGGGTACGGTGGTTCTCACGTCCATATTTGGCGGTTGATGCAGCAATTACGAAGCAGTGACCGCACGGCAGTGGGCTTGGGTTCCACAATGAAGGTGATTTCGTACTGTGTAGGAAGGCAGCCGGAGGAAAGCCTCCATGTGGTGATCTAGATTTAGGGTACTGAGAATCGAGTGAGTCTGGTATTGCCCAAGTAACGGGACTTGGTGCAGCCCTCGGAGCTTCAGACGCGTGTGGGAGGACTAGGCCCTTTCTCCATGATGCACCTTCCCATGCCCGTGGAGCCTGGATAGACGTACTTCCTTGACAGCAACACCGACGCAAGCTGAGATTAAATCGCCCCCTCGGATTTTGTTGACCACGACATGGGTCGACGTCAGAAGCGAGCTGATGGTCCCTGTCACAAGGCAAACAACGGGGTTAACCAATCAGAGGGGGTGAAGGCCCGGGGCCAACTCCGATAACTGACCAGTCAGCAAACAGCTCGCGGAAGAGAGCGGCCTTCTTTCAACTGGGTGAAGTGAGCAATTACTTACACGCCGTCAGCACATATCCCTCATGCTCGCCTCTGCTCATTCCCTACACACCTGCCTCTGTGGGACTGGGCAGGCGCACTTCTCGTCTCATCGCGCGCTGGCAACGAACATGATTGTATGATGAAGCGCAAAAGCTTGCTTTTCATCCGAGCCTTGGTAACGGCTTGATGACGAGCAACATGCCCATGTTCTGAGCGCTTGGGTATTAGTATGTGTGTAGATGAATCACTGTGAGTTGTTGCACTGCTGGCCGAGGCACTCAGCCTGGGATTAGGATCTAGATCTAACGTCCTCTGCTCCGGCTGCTTCTCATACGCGGGAGCACCCTCCGGACTTCAATACCAGCCCTGACTTCATGCCTCGCCACGCCTGTCACGAGGCTTCCGAACCACCGCGACATGATTTGATGCTACGCCTTGTAATGCTAACCCTACTTCAAATAAATGAAGAAGCAAGCTACAAGATCTATTGCGGAAGCATAACGGCTTGCTTGGTTCATAGATGCCTACTGCTAATGAAATTTGGGGGCTCTTAGGAGGCGGCCTATTTTTCCTGTGTTATGCCGACTACATTTCCTGTGGCTTGCGTGCGGCGAGGCAGGTTCACACTTGCAATCTACATTCCTAGTACCTACTACCTACCTGCCCGGGCCTAGTCGTGCTTGCCCTCCTAGTTAAGCCTGCTGGTTCTAGACGGGTACTGGTTGACTTAGTTTCTACTTTAGGAGGAAGGTTGTTATCGCACCTAGGTACCTTACTTGGTGTTACTAGGAGGGTAGCTGTAACTGTGAGGGTAGGAATACTTGGAGGGCGGGCACGGGCAAGTGATGTCGAGAAGGGGTGTAACATAAGAGCCCCCAATCACTTCCAACTTTTTCCTCTCCAGGACATCTCGCTGTTTACTTGGCCTACTGGTTTTGCCTCTTTTGATAGGTATCTTACCGCGGCGTGTTGGCCAAATTTGACTACTACATTCCATTTAGTATTAAAACCTTACTCAACAGGTTTCACGCATTGTTTACTTCCTTCACCTTTGAATCAACGTCGCTTGTTTCTGTGTGTTTGCCGTCGCCCCGGTTCAACTCAACGCTTGCTCCGGCGAAATGCAACGCTCTCTGAGGCCGCTAGCACCGCGCCCCCCAGCCCGTCTGCCCGCAGCACCTCCAGTTCCGAAGAAGAAACAGTCGCAGACGCCGGTCGCATGCAAAAGTAAGTCTCATCCTTGTCTTCCGCCGCAATTGAGGAAACATCTGACCTGGACACCAACTAGGATGCCGACAACGAAGGACCAAGGTCAGTTTGCCCCTTTCCTGGCCCCTTTCCTGGCCCCTTTTCTGAGAGATCAGCTCGAACAAAGCCGGGACTGACCATACGCCCCAAAACCAGTGCGGCGGCGTTTTGCCCTGCCTGCTTTGCAGGGTAACTAGTCAATCGTGCGAATACCCGAAGTCCCTGGAGCAGCAGCTCGCAGACCTGACGAGGGCGCACGAGCAGAGCCGGAGGGTCCTGGAGCTGCTGCGAGACCCTACCACGTAGAACGCTGACGAGATACTGCAACTGCTCCGAGGCCCTGAGAACCTTGATCAAGCTATGGAGTCTATTGTGAATGCGAGCCTGGTGCCGCCGCCGCCGTCTGCTACTGATGGAGGGGGTGAAAGCCGTGAGAGCGAGGGTTTTAGGACTGAAGAGGGCTCAGAGATGGCCGAGGATGGTTTAACGCACGCGGATTGGACGTCTTCTGGGTTTAACGTGTATTTGGCGCCTTTGGGGGCTGCCGCGGATGAGAGGCCCCTTCCGTTTGATGAGCTCATGGCGTTTGGATCGTGGGCCTGATGACTGAACAAGAAAGTTTTACGATATTCATGGTGTGTGCCTTTCTTGTCTGGAGTTCAGCACGCTCTTGTAGACAGCATTGGTCACCAACGAGGACTTTTGGGGCTTACCCAGAACCTCGAATAGTCAGAATACGCATGATAATGCAAGAATTACCTCACGGGGACAGGACTTGGGGCTCTCTTTCAGGAAACCAAAGCTTTTGTTGCTATCTCGTGGCTCTTGATTCGATGACTTACATGAGACCCCGTCGCAAAGCATGCCATCATAGGTGTAGCACGCCTCCGTGATGAACAAGCCACTTTGTCGAATGAGTTTTGCTAGCCGGACAGTGTGAACACACACATATATCCTCTTAAAGCGAATATCGTCATTATCGTCATCGTCCCCCGTAGTCGTCGTCCATCGTCATTATTATTATCACTATCCCTATTGGTTTCTCTACTGCTGTCGTCCTTATAGAAGTATCAGATGCGCTGCGATACTGCCCGGGTCGCTAACTGACACTGCCCGGCCAGCAAAATTCTATCGAATACGTCATGTGTGTGTGTTTGTACCACTGCTATGCAGTTTGCCATTTCAATTCTGGGCATTTGTGCTCCAACTTCAGCTGAGCATCCGTAGCACCTGAAATCTTCTTCAGAGAAATATGATAGATGCAAATAATAGATGTTTTGCCGCTGATCACGAGACTCGATGCTACGAGGATAAAAAGGATGGATAGCTTCATTATTGCAACAATTTGGTACGTGCTTTATGGCGAAGTTGGCTCTGGTGACGCTGTGGCGTGGTGGTCTCCGTGTGAAAGAGGGCCTTGTTGGCTCTTTCGAAGAGGCTTCTGAGAATACGTGCAGAACGATTGTGCGAGCTTGAGAGATCTTCTCTGACTGGGCGAGAACTTAAGAAGGGGATTATAACATGGAAAGCTTTTCAGCCGTAAAACCATGGCCAGCCAGGTTCCTGCGGCGACGGTTGGAGCCGGGCATATGTGGAGGATAAGCCAGGTCTCAACGGCCATTACCGTTGAACTTTAACTTGAGTAATTCCTAATCCGTCGTATGGGCTGTAGAGCCCAATCTGACCGAGACCGCCTATTCTTCCTGTGCTAAAGCGACTGCTTTTGCTGTGTACTGAGTGACTTTGATGAGGAGGACCACGAGGGGCGACGGCGATAAACGCTGATAATAGAGGACGAAGACGATACACGACTATAACAGTAGCGATAATAGTAGCAATAACAGTGACGACTACAATAGCAACGATAGCGAACACACAGGAAAAGTAGTCGCTCTAGCACTACAAAATTAGGCGGTCTCATCTAATCCATACCATTCCCTTGTGGAAGTACCCGCCAGAACTCTTCTTAACCTCAACCGCCGCGTCTTTTTTGACAACAAGGTTACAATCGCCCTCCCGGGGCTTTCAGTCTGGGCCATTCCCAAGGTTTTGTGCCATTGCGAAGAGCAGGAGGACCAAAAGGGACAACAGGGATCAGGTAATGATGTTTGCGGAACTGCGGTGGCTCCCGCTCCACCCATAAGTCGATCAGGTTTCGCTTCTCGGCGGGCATCATATGCGGAAGAGGCATCTCGCTATATGCGGGGAGAGTTCTGGTCTTGGGGTCGCGATATATCTCCCAAGCCTGTCTCATGCGTCGTGCCTGGCCCGCGGTGAAGTGCATGCCTTCGTTGCTGTTTTCCCCCACCAGTAAGCTAACAGAAACAACAGAGTCCACTGGGCACACCCAACTCACCATCCAGTGTAAGTCATGTAGTTGCGAACGGGGTCGTATCCAGGCAGCAAGGGACACGAGTTCTGCGTTTCATTGCAAGTCTTTTGGAAGTAAGGGTTCATCTGCTGCCGACGAGTGTCCTCAACCTGGTCATCGTTGCGCTCGCAACCGCCTTGGAACGTGTGGTACAGGCCGAGCCAGTGGCCTGTCTCGTGCAACACCAGCTTCTCAATCATGGCCTCTGTCAGGCCGATCGTGGCAATGACGACAGCGTCACTGGCCAGGGGAAACTCCAGGCCCTTGCGCTTTGTGGGTGCGTCGAGGAGGGCCCACGGGAAGTTGGCGAAGCCGTAGGTTCCCAGGTTCGCGGGGACCAGGAACAGGTTGAGCGTGTCCGCTCCGCCGTGACGGTGGGTGCGGACCAAGGCCGAGGTGACGTTTCCCCATATCCTGAACCTGTGCTGGCTGGCAAATTCCGCGTCGACGTGTTCATAGGAGAACGGGCCGAACTCGAAGCCGACGCTGCGGTATTTGGTATAGGCTGCCTCGATGGCAGCAGTTTTGTTCTACAAAGAGGGAAGAGTAGCGTTAGCCTGGTTCTCGGTCAGTGCTTTAAAGAAGGAGTCCGAATGCTGGAGTTCAACCTGGAAGAAACTCCTGTAATTGCTGTTCCCG